TGCTCCAGCAGTAAGTTTGAATTTACATGATTGGTCTGTTGTCAATCAGAGCAACTGTTGCACCCAACCCACCATATAACAAATCTGAAAAGTAGCGTAAAACACTGTTTTTTTACTCACAACGCAAAAAATATGGCGGTCAGTCTGATAACTGACAAATGTCTGACTGATCACAATATCTTCTGCATTGTGTAAACCGTATTTCACGATTCCTTTTCAGTATGACCACCAACGTACGAACGAATCACTCCACATTATATATAAACGAGAAGCGCTCCTTGAGCATAATTCGACTGAATTTCTAAGATTTCGCGTTTAATTTTATGATTTTATTTCCCTGACCGCCAGAACTCATTAGCTCTTTGGTAAAGGTTTTCGGTAGAGGAACGACATAGGCGGTATGAGAAATTCGAATGGAAGCCCAGAAGCAAGCATCGTTTGAGACAGCGGCGAGCTACGTGTACGATAAACTCGAGATGCTGGGGAGCAGCCTGGTAGCACTGAAGGAAGAAGAGAAGATCCTCTATGCAACGTTGGAGTTCGCCAATTCTCTCCGAACAGTAGCTGTGGTCGCTGGTAACCACTGCAAGGCCGCAGGTGTACTGCCTATCCTGCATGCGCCAAAGGAGCGTAAAGACAACAGGGGTCCAGATGCGAGGCCAGAGCCTATGATGACAAAACCCGGACTGTCATCCACTTCAGACGAGCCCGAAAGGTAACTGCATGCACTAGACAGTTTGACGAAAACGAAGCGAATGAAAATCACGCGGCTTGATCGACTGGATCGCAGAGACATGACTCAATCAGGAGATGGGGTAAACCACCGACGAAATGTGACGGATGTGATTCAACCTCGCAAGACGAAAACGGAAACCCAGGTAAGATGATTTCCGATGTCACTAAAAAGCGCATTTGCGCGGGACTGTCCAATGAACTCCAAGAAAAAACGACACCTCGACGGGGAAGAGGTGGCATTATTGAAGAAAGTTCCCCAACTTCTGATTCAGATGATGGTGCACCCAGTCGAGTTGGGCCAGGTAGATGCCATTATCTACCCCGGATCCACTCTAAGCGCAATTAGGCGGGCATCGCTGAAAAACAGTACCAAAGGAAAGCGTGGCAATGGGGTGGACTGCGATATGCAGATAACCGATATGTTATGACCACCTATGGAGTCGAGATAGACGTCAGCATGAAAGGCCAGGGGACAATTCTGACAGAAGTAGCGGTGATGGAAAACATTCAAAGTGACATAATCATTAGGATGGACTGGAAGGCAGTCGTGGGGTGACGACATTAACTGGTAAGGAGGGTACCCATTTTAATTGGGCAGCAAAAAGAAAAATGAGCCGGTAATTGTGGAGGACGGTCCAAGCGACAGACGTGACGTACCATTGGAATACACGGTTTCAGTAGATGGACGGAGAGATTCAGATCGTGAGAAAGGTCAAGATGAAGAACTTAACGTCTTTAGGAGCAGTGACCAATGATGGAGCACGAACCGGAGTCATGAAAGCGGTTGTAATGAAAGAGTGCATGACGACAGCTGGAAGGACAACCAGTTTTGTGCCAGGGCAACTGCCTGCGTGGTCGATGGTACGGCACTCCTAGAGAACGACAACAGCATGCAGATCAGCCGAGAATGGGTGACACCAAGAGAGCTGCACAGCGCCAACAGAGGTACCATTCCAATCATGAACTTGAAGCAGGTGCTGTTTTGCCTTGCAAAAGGCAAGAGACAGAAAAAAAGCACCAAAGCTGTCAATTACAGAAAAAAAGATCTTCTTCATGCAAGCATGAGCGAGCTCCCAGTGGGTAAACAAGCCACAAGTTGTCAAGTTTGACGGCGAAGGAACAAGAAAGGTTGAAAAATCTCTTATTCAGATATCAAGATTGTTCCGCCAAGTGGTTGCACGATTTGGGAACGGTAGATATAGAAAAGCACCAGATAGATACTGGAGAACACCAATCTACATGTACGACCGAGAAGAGATTTACCAGATGAACGGTGGGTCATCAGCGAACAGGTACGAAAAATGTTGGAAACTGGGGTCATTTTTCCAACAGAGAGCTCTTGGTCGTTTCTTGTGGTGTTGGTCCCAAAAAAGACGGTAATTTCCTATGGTGTATTTGGTTTGACAATCACCGGCTGAACGATGTTACGGAAAAGGGTGTATATCCATTGCCGAAGATGGATAACTTCTTGGATAATTAGCTCATTTGCGGTACTTTTCAACGTTTGATCTTTTCCTCGGATACTGGCAAGAAGAAATTGCTGCCAAGGATCAGGAAAACATAGCGTCTGTAACACCGGCTTGGCTATTTCACCTTTGCAGAAATTTGATTGGTCTGCGTAACGCCCCGCATCATTTCAACGCCTGATGACTAAGCTGTTGGTAGGCATTAAATGGGAAAATTATCTGGTCCATTTGGACGACAGAACGATCATGGAACACCTCAACATCTAGACATTGAGCTAGAATGCGATCGGAAGGGTTGATATGCGCTGATATACGTTTTCTCGGACATATTCAATACAGATGGCCTGAAAATAGATACAGATAAGCTCCTCTGGGCATTAGTATACATAAAGCAGGTGCGGAGCTTCCTTGATCTCGCATCTTACTGTAAACGGTTCATTGCAGGATTCTCACTAGTGGCGAAATCGCTTACTGGAGAACGCGCGAAGGAAATGTACTGACAGGCAGCAGGCGGCGTTTGAGACACTCATACTGCCGTTGATGACTACGCCTATTCTAGCTCATTATGTCGAAAATGCGGAAACAGAAATACATACTGATGCCAGCATCAACGGACTTGGAACAGTACCTGTACAAAGGAAAGACGGGAAGAAAGCAGTAGTATCTTACCTTAATCTTCGAGTATCCGCTGCTGAGAGGAAATGACATTTCAATGAATTGGAATATTTGGCTGCTGTGTGGGCACAGCAGAAGCTGAGCCCGGACATTTCATGGATTAAATTCTTGCTAAAAACCGATAACGGTACCGTCAGCTAGCTGTATAAGAAAAAGAACGTTCACAAAAGTACCCTAGATTGGTCCTGCTATGTCTTAATTCGAT